GGAGCGTGTGGATTTCTTAATGAAAGTAATATTAGCTTAATCACTTCACTGCCCCCTCCAAGTCATTTATCTTTTCCACTCTTAACTCCTTCTCTGATATATTACAGTAGCACTTTGACAAAGATTATGTGTTTGTAACCCTTAAGGGAAAACAGCCTCCCTTTTTACCCCTTTGTTATCTTGTTGCAAAGTAGTTCTGTACTATTAAATGATTTAAATTAATCAGTAGTTGGTTCATCTTGGTGTTTTCAGTCTATTTGGTTTAACACGAGGCAGGTTTAAGTTAGTTTTCCTTTACTTTAGGGCCATAACTAACAACTCCAGTTCTAAGACTTGAGTTTCTTTTACATATTGCCAAATTTCTAATTCTTTGCTTGGTTGTTTTCTAGCTGTCTGTACTTAAAAATATTAATTCAGTATTTTAGTTACAAATTCATGAATTAAAAATAGTATGGGTATAGTTGACCCTCATCTCCACCTGCTTGTGCTTATGTGCTGCTATGTTATCTCACCATACTGCTTTTCAGCACAGCAGCCCATGCGCACTAAACATATTTCTGCTCAGCATTTTATTGCATCTTTTCCTTCCATCTGCAGTAAATGATGCATGACCTTTATGGGCACAGTGGAAGGGCAGGAGGACATGCCCTCGGGTCAAGAAGGGACAGCAGCTCACTACCCATCTGCTCATGGGTAACAGGAAGCCTCACCCTCAGGTGTTGTCACTGCAGCAACAGTTCTGGCATGATGTGCTGCTTTTAAAACAATGCCTGGCTTCTTTCTTTATTCCTGCTCATTGCCAAGAAATGACAATTGAACAATTAAGGCACAAAGCAGAGAGGGTTTAGCAAATCGTGAACTGTTTTTCATTTGCCTCATTAAGCTGATGTTAACTACTTAAAGCCATCTGCTTAAAAATAATTTACCCATCTTAAGTTTGCTCTAGAGAGCAGGTAGACCTTCGTTAGAGCAAGTTTTGTTATTAATGTTATCTTTAGGGGGCTTTCAGTTGTTGTGGAAAATACTGTGTTGCTTACTGAGCTGAACTTTCCCTCTAAACAAAAGGAAGCAGCACATGTTTGTAACATGAGAATGAGCTATGTGAATGCCTACTGTCCCTATTATCTACTGCCGTCCCCAAAAATGAGTCTTGGAGAGGAAGAGCAGCCAGATCCATCACAGTGCTTCAGCTGTAATTGCGAAGGGGGAGCCCTGCAGCCTGTTCCCTGAACAACTAGCTGTGGAAAAACAAGTTGATTTGTCTCCCTGGATTTGTAAAGAAACAATTTCACTGACAAAGGACAAATCACCAGAGACTCTTCCTCCTATCTTGAACTGAGATTCATTGTCATTTCAGTTACAGAGTATGTACACTCCTTTCTGACCTGCTCTGTAATTCTGTGGTTTGCTGGGTTCCTGTAAGAGGAGACTGTTTCAGCAGTATGCTAAGATCATTTGGAGTGAAAGTAGCTTTAGAAATATTAGATAACTGATGGTGTGAGAATTGAAGACACGATCCTCCATTCAGTCTGTGGGAAAGAGGTGGACGTGATTTTTTGAATATTAGCTGAGACACGATATATGACTAAAACTTGATTAAATATTGATCTTTTAATCAATAAATTAAAACCTCATTAAAATAAATATTGCTATGAAATTGATTTTTTCCCAATTGCATGCTGTTTATGGAATATGGCAATATTGAACAGGATACAAAGCTGTTAAAGTAGCTGAGCAAAAATGATGCTGTGAATGTTAAATATCATTGTTTTTCTATTAAGATTTTGTTTGGCTCTTTCTGGCGAGGAGGAAGCCTTCAACTGACAGACAGACTACAGACTAACAGCACAGATTTGCACAAAGCATACTTTCAAATGTGTGAAAAAACAGGGCTTTTGGGGATTACTTTTGATGGCAATAGATGAAGGTATTCTTTGCCAATGCGGCTACTGTGCATTCCAGTTTAAAGTATGACTTCCCAAGGAATCCTTGACTGGAATCCTTTTATGTTTGCTCAGTCACCTGGGCCTACGTTTGAAAAAGTGGGGAATGAAAAATGTATCTTAATTTGTCTTGATTGGAAGGAATGAGTGTTATAAGAATGTGTACATGTCATTGAAGAGAATATGTGGCATCTGCCGTATTTGATATGCCCCCATACTCTGTTCTCTTTGCTATATTTATCTTAATCTGGAAAGTATTTTGCTTCAGGATTTCACTGTGAAACACTTCTTCTAGTAAAAACCTATAAATTACATAGAAATAAGCAAATAATTCCTGTAGATCAAATATATAATAAAAATGAAATCCATTTTTTTAATTTGCAAAATACAACATTTTAAATATGATTACCTTCACAGCTGTCTACTGAAGAGTACCCAGTTCCAAGATGCTATTGTAAACTCAGTTATTCAAATCACGAGGTGTTCCTTCTTAGTACTCTGGATTGTCATACAAGGTTAGCACCGATTGAAAAACTTTTGTGAGCAAAACATTTTGAGTTAAGCTGAGTTAAATCTCTGAATCCATCTGAGCTGTAGTTCAATAAGCAGAAGAGTGATAAGTACCATGGACCTTCTGGTGATAAGTTTGGGTAGGGGCCTTGTTTATAGGAGAGAATGATACGTGACGACCCAGATCTACGGATTTCAGCAGCTATGTATTTGCTATGTCTTTAGCATGTCCACTGCAGGTGAGAGCAAGTTGTCAAAGTCCTGCAATCTGTCACAAAAAGACTGCTTTAATTTTCAGTCATTTCTAGTTACAGTCCTTACACAGAGTGCAGCAAATCCTCCTTCAGCAACACCTTCTCATGCTATCACAAGACCTGAAGGAGGCCTTGCAGAGTGCAGTTAAATCAGCTGTAGAAGCTGGAAACCTTGCTGTACTTAAACCTCAAGAGAGGAGTCTTGCAAAGCAGTAGTTGAGAGCTGGAATCAGGTATGCAAAATGGGAATAAAGAAGGCACTGCTGCTGTGAGCGGCAAGGCTCTCAGAAGCCCTTAGCCTTACCATATTAGCTTCTCACTTCCTGAGTAGGAGGAAGATCTCTATCTGAGATGCTCGTGCAGCTCTGTTCTCTGAATGCATCAAGAAGATGCAAAAAAGGCTGTCTAGAAGATGGTTTGAGTCCTTTGTGTGCTGATGCTACTGATTCCTGTGTTCTCTGTACTGCCGTCTAAGGTGAGAAGCAATGTGGAGGAAGAGAAGAGCTGCTGACAGGAGGGACAGACAGTTCTCAAATGACTGCCTGAAGGAAGTAGACATGAAATGGGGTGTGTTTCTGATAACTGACTTTGGAAACTCACCTGGAACATGGATTTCTCTGATAGGAAATAAAGCTTTTGCACTCATCTTCCTGCTCATTCCTGTCCTGAGCCCAGCTGGAGCTGCCACAAGATAAGCCCTGCTTGAGGGTTCAGCAACCTTGTCCTGTCTGGGGACTGTGTGCATCTGAGAAAGAAACCTGCAGAGGAGCAGTGCTGACTCCAGTGACAGAGTTGAGCTGGGGAGGAGGCAGCAGCTTAACAGGAGTTGTTTTAAACTGTCCCTGAGCAGTGCTGACACCAGTTGTAACTTTGAAGTCTTGGCGTGGTTTGTTTATTTTTCCCTTAGTTCTTGTGTCTACCTGTGAATGTAATTGTGCATTAGAGGAGTCATGTCTAGCCCTTGCCTTTGTGGAAGAAAGTGACTCATGACCTGCTACAGCTCAGAGCTAGAAAGCTTATAAAAACTCATTGCAGCTAAATCACTGAGTAGCTGGGTGTGAAAAGGCTGTCTAGAAGATACTTAGATAGATGAGCATGAAGTCATTTGCTGCAAATTCACAACCTGAAGCCAAGTGGAAAGGCTACAGGCTTTCCATTTGGTCCTTCCTTTGTTTAGAAACTCATTGGTGAGTAAAGAGGCTAGGAGCATCTACCAGCTCTAACCTGCTATTCACATCTTCAGAGACAAGCAGGCATGCAGGGACAGGACAGTGCTTGGTCAGAAAAGGCACAGAAAGAGAGCTCCAGACCTCTTTTGTACACCTTCATCCCAGAAAGGCTGTGAATGATACTTTTTGGAGGTACTTTGAAAAAGGAAGTATCGTGTCTTTGTTTCACCCAATAAAAGGGAACTTGCGTGAGCATAACAGCTGTGTTTAGGGCAGTGAATTTCTGGTATTGTGACAGAGTTGGTCTTAAATGTTTCCTTTGCCTAGGTTGAGCAGACTAAGACTGTTCTGGTGCCAGTGTTTTGTGGGCTGTAACTTTGGAAAGAGAAGGTTATGTGCTGTTCTGGTTGGAGTCACTCTCATGCTGTTGAGTGTATTGCTTTTTGAATGAAGGGTGTACCGAGGGAGTACTTACCGTGGTTGGCACAGGAGCTCTGAGGCTGACTCACCCCATCAGTAGGCTTTTTGTGGGAATGCATGATAGTTCATCCAGAGAGGAATGTAGGTAGTCCTCACCTACCCCTCTCTGTGTAAGAACTACCTACATGCGTGAGCTATTCTGTCAGCACAAAATGGCAATGTCTTTGCTTGTGAAAGTAAATACCTTGTTGGAAATAAAAAGCTCCTGGAAAGATAGGATTTGGTGTAGTTCATGGCTGTTCATAGCCAGCCACATGACCTAATTGAATCCTGGATACAGAGATCTGACGGGGGGGGGGGGGGGTTGCATATACTTTTTTACATATATAAAAGATTTTAAGCCGCAGCAGCGAAACAGTCAAGTTCTATGGAATGAAGGAAAAACAGAAAAACAGAGGTTAAATTAATTTTTGATGTGAGGGATAGTGTGTGCAGAATGGCAGCGAACACATAAAGCAGGTTCCATACCTAGCAAGTTAAGTTTGGAGAGGAAAGGGGATACGGTGCCACTTTGTCTTGCTAAGCAGGCTTGAAATACTGGTAGCGCTACAACAGTAGACCTTAACACCGTAAGTTTCTATTTCGAATACATTCAAGATGTTATTATATAACAAATTCAACTCCTTTTTTTTTTTCTCTTGCAGATCACACATCCGTGGGCGGGCTGGGAGACAGTTTTTATGAATATTTATTGAAAGCCTGGCTTATGTCAGACAAGATGGACACGGAGGCAAGAAAAATGTACGACGATGCCATTGAGGTGATTATAATTCGTGGAGTTTTCCCATCCAGTTGAACTACAAAACCATCTTTAATACTTTAAAAAAAAAAAACACAAAACAACCCAAAACACCCCAACCAAAGCACCCCCAGGACTGGTTTTGATTATGTAAGCTTTAAGAAATCAAGTGGTGAATAATACTAGCTTTCACTCTCAGTAGTTTAAGAAGTGTTATTGTGGAATGCATCTGATGCAGATTGTTGTGCTAAAAATAATCAGCTTGTCCAAAATTGTATAATCTAAATGCCCAAGCTATAGTTTATTAGAAAGAGATCAAACAACCCTAAGATGTCTGCAGAACAACCAAGTCACTTCTTTCCAGTGCTCAGAATCACTCTAGGGCTTGAAGTTCTGAAGTGTTTTATTCTTTATTTTACAAAGCGTGTAGAGGTTTTATTCCATATTTATGTTGTAAAATGTAGTTCATACCCATTCCTTGCTCTGTGGTTCTTTTGTGATGTGATCTTGCTCCCTCTCACAGAAGAAGTAGTGCTTCCCCAAGCACAGCAGCACTGCAGGATAGTTCAGTGGGATTTGGGGCTGTGGCCTTTTAGTGATGGCTCTGAGCTTTATGCTGCCCAGCTCTTACTTTCTTATAATTTCCCCATACACAGGCATCTTCTTTCATCAGGCTTGCTTGTGCCAACATGCTGGTGCTACAGTTAAGACATGTGAGTAACTAAGCTGGTTTTAATCAAGTTGGCTGTGGTACTAATAGCAACAGGGACTGCGAAGTCTTGTCCAAGTGCACATGTGCGCTTGGTGCCTAACTTGTTCCATGATCTGTGTATGCTGTGTTTCTTCAACGCAAGCTCCTAAAGCAAAAAACACCAAAAAATTCACATTTTAAAAGATATATAATGAAAGTTCTAGTCTAAAATTGCTTTGAAGCTGTAATATATCTTATTCTTGACCTGAATTTGATTCATTTGACTTCCAGATACTTGACCTTTTTCCTCCCCTACATCGTTTTCCAGGGTCATCTGCATTATGTAGCTGGTGGCTAACCAAGGTGTGACACACATTCTCTCATAAAAGAGATGCATTATTTTCTTGAGTCTCACAATATAAAGCAGATTTTGAATTATTTCTTAAGCCTTTTTTCTAAGTACTTTCCAGTATCTTCAGTATGGAGACAAGAATGTAATGTTTCGACACCTGATTTCTTCTCCATATTCGCCTCTTCATCCAGCCAAGAGCTGTGTTTGCACTCTTAACCTTTGCCTCAGTGTCATCTGCTTTCCACTTGGTTTTGCTCTGAAGTTGGTTATAGTCATTTTGATTTACTGCTTTCCTGCTACTGTGATTTCCATTCATGATTCCTTGATGTGTGATTCTTACTAAAACACAATAGTTCAGGCAAAACCCACTTTGTTCCCTGTTCTGAATGATTTTACAGGACTGACTTTTCCTTTATTACTATCTATAGCTCCATCAATTTTTGTGTCATCTGCACATTTCTTTTAGCATTTGTTTCTTGCAGATTGTTGGTAGAAATGCTGCCTAGCATTGTATAGAAGTGTTTTTGCAGAATCTTCATGGGATGAGGACTTTTCACAGTTGTTGGTTTCACTTTGAACTGTTCTAGCACACCAACTTTTAATCCACTTCATATGTGCTGCCTTGAATTCATTTAGGACTAATACTTTGTACAATACCAAGGAAATTCCCGAAATTCCTACTATTCCTGATCTCAGTATGCACTTGTCAAACAAGCATTCATTCTATATGATTGTTCCATTAGCCTTTTAAAATACTGTTAAAGCACCAGCTATTTCCCAGTCCTTTTGAATTTTCTTTGCTTTCCAGGCTTTGTTAAAGTCAACATTAGTGGTTCAAAACATTAGTTGAGTGCTTTTAATAGTCTAAAATACAGTTTTGGGTCCCGTTGGTTTACAAATATATAGCAGTTGGTGTATAACATCATTGTGATTGTTTCATCTTCTCCATTGCAAGCCCAGTCTTGCAAACATTATGTATGGGCAGATCTCTCTCTCTGAATGGAAACACAGCAAAGCAATCTGGGACCAGGTAAAACACACTGTGGAGAGAAGGGAGAAAGAGCTGAGCTGTTCCTGCTTCATTTGTGATATGACCTGCAGTGCAAACCACTAGATGGTTTCCTGTTCAGCTTTCCCTCAGCCAAACCTACCCATTAGAATCTCTACGAACCATACTGATCTGTGCATTGTGGAACAATGTGTTCATGCCTTGTACAAGCCCAGGTAGATGAAACCAGTCACTCTTCCCTTACTCACCAATGCTGCAGCCCCATCATAAAAGGCCACCAGACTGGTCAGGCACGATTTGCCCTTAGTGAAGCTATGTTGGCTGTCAATAATCACCCTTATTTTCCATGTGCCTTAGCATAGTTTCCCGGAGGATCTGCTCCATGATCCTGGTGAGACTGACTGGCCTGAAGTTCCACAGGTCTTCCTTTTTAACATTTTGAAAAACGTTTCACCCTTTCCAGTCAGTAGGAAGTTCCCCAGACTGCCACAGCTTCTCAGGTATGATGGACAGTGGCTTAGCCAGTTCCCTCTGGACCTGCAGATACATCTCATCAGGTCGCAGATACATCTCATCAGGTCCCATATACTTGTGCACCTTCAGGTTCCTTAGATGATCTTGAAACTGATCTTCTCCTACAGCAGGCAGTTCATTTTCCCAGTCCTGCCTTTGCCTTCTGCAACTTGGGTGATGTGGCTGGAGCACTTGCAGGTGAGGGCTGAGGCAAAAACGTCATTGGGTACCTCAGCCTTCTCCACGTCCAGGGTAACCATGTCTCCCATTTTCTTCTGGAGAGGGCTCACATTTTCCCTCATGTTCTTTTTTATCCCCATTGTACTTATAGAAGCTTTCTTTGTTGTCCTTGACATCCCTGGCCAGATCTAATTGTCAGGTCTTCAGCCTTCCTAATCCGATATATGGCTGCCAGCTTACTCATTGGAGTGGCTGGAATTCCTTTGTGCTGATGTTCTGGTGCCCTCCTGCTGATCCGTGACCCCTCTGTAAGCTCTGGGCATCTCTTACTGGCAATGCCATCAAACTGGTAGGAGCAGGATTGATTGAGATTCCCCTGCCCCAGCAACTTTAATTTAAAACCCCATGTTTCTCAAAGCAGGTCCCATGGTCTAAGTAGTTGAAACCCTGTCTGTGGTACCAGTCCTGTAACCATTGTTGAATGGCCTGATTCGACCAGCCTTTTCAAACCCCTTCCCAGTGACCAGCAGGACTGATGAGGAAGCTCCTTGTGCTCCAGAGTCCCTTACTGCTCCTCCCAGGGCTCTGTGGAAAGCTGTGGTACCCGATGCCAATGTGCATGATTGTTGGACAACCACTCTGGCAGCTGGCAGAGATGGACTGGGTTCTGCTCTGTCAGTTATTTCTGTGTTCTCTCTGCACCGTGCACCTGGCTGAAGGACTTCCATGTCCTTCCGTATCCACCCAGATACTGATGGGTTCAGTACAGCTGCTCTAGCAGTCCTGTATCACTGAATTATACCTACTACAGTCACAGAAAGACCTTGAAACTTTTCATTTGTCCATGTTATTGTAAGCAAAACAATCTCATGTTTTTTATTTTGAGGGAAAAGCTATTTCACTCTCTGCTTTTGAACCTGAATTACAGGTTGCAAGCTGATTAATCTATATACTTATTGCTTGAATCTTTATTGTAGCAAACTGCATAGTTGGCACTGTGTAGATAATAAGGAGACAAGGGTGTGCAGCAGACATGACCTCCACATCCACAAAAGCCACTTCAGTTACATGCAGGATCCTCTGCCTGGATGTTCTCAGTATATCAAGCTTCAGTGCAAACAGTTGTGGGCATTTGGGGTGTAATTTGTTGTAGGTACCAGAAAGTTAATGAAGAGGGATAGTAGTTCACTCTTGTGAGTGAAGTAGATCTTGTGGATGGCAAGGAGAGTGGAAAATGCCTTTTTAAAGGCACTTTAATCCTTCAACTCCAATCAGCCTTGGAGTACTCTTACCAGCCATGTGCTTTGAAGAAAGTTGTGAACCCATCAGATGGTTATGTGTGGAAGTACTAAGGAGATTTCTGGAAAGAAGATAGGAATAATGTCTCCATGGTAAAAAGATAATTGTCTTTACTATTATAGATCTCAATTGTAACAAGATTCTAGGTAAAAAAAAAACCTGTCTAATGCTTAAGATAGTGTTTCAGTAGATTGGTGGGGATTGTGACCCTCCCTGGAAGAGGCTTAAGTAGATATGTTGTTTCACATAGCTTGCAAACTTTGGAATGTTACATAAGCTATTCTCCTTGCTGCTACGAGAAGAATACCATTTACAAGCCACAGGCAATAATATAGGTACAAATGCACCAAGAAGGCAGCAGTTGCCTCACCTATAAAATGATACTTATTTTTTTTTCAGCAGTTACTCTAACCCTCACCCATCCTTTGACCACATGTAATCAGAAAGCTGCCACGGAGAAGGAGCAAAAAGGTGGCTGGATCATTCCTGTCACTTCCTATTAAAGACTGACTGAAAGTACAGGTGCTACCTGTACATATATTGCTGACCAAAACATTCCAATGTGGATGTATCTTATGAGTACACACAGACTGTACTGCAGAACATATAGGTACTTCTCAGAGTTAACGGGTAGACGATCACTGTTTGAGCCATAAAATACATGCTGAATTCTCAGCTAAAAGTGCAGTTTTAGCTGTGTTGTTATTTTCCTGTGTTTGATCTCATTAGCATCTTTTAGCAGTTAGGGTATTTCTTGTGTGCCTTGAAAAAATGTTCTTATAGCTGTTTGCTCCTGAAGTGCTAAGAAGTGAATTTGAAAGAAGATTTTGTTGTTGTTGGCTTAAAAACAGTACTTTATTCTTTGAAAGAGAGTTTAGTTACATAAAACAGTGCATATGAAACAGTATTTGAAAGTTCTCTTAATCTTCTTGTAGGCCATAGAAAAGCATCTCATCAGAAAGTCCAATGGAGGACTGACCTTCATTGGGGAGTGGAAGAATGGGCACCTTGAAAGAAAGATGGGCCACTTGACCTGTTTTGCAGGGGGAATGTTTGCCCTTGGAGCAGATGGTTCCAGAGATGATAAAGCTGGACATTATTTGCAACTTGGAGCTGAAATTGCACATACATGTCACGAGTCATATGACAGGACAAGTAAGGTCTATTCCTAATCTAGTTATTGGTTGTTAAAATAGTTAAAATACAGAGTTATATATATAGTTATATATAATTATATATAACTATCTGTAGTTATAATACAGAATTAAAATACTAGTTAAAATACATGAATTGTTGTAATTATTTTTTAAGATGTGTTATGGACCTATGCCTTATCTAACGTGCAGTAGTTTCTATACAAGTATAAATTTTGAACATCCACGTATTTAATTGTGATCTACATCATGGTGAGTAAATGTAAAAACAGATTGCATGTGGTTCCTTCCTGCATGTTTATCCCTATTTTTTGGATCAGTCAGCTAAGATAGGTTATATGAGTGCAGGGAGGAAGGACTGTGTGTGGACTCTTGTCTTCCCAGATATATAGGGCAGTTTTTCATTTCATATATACTGTTCTTACTGTTATGTAGAGTTAAAAATTTGTAAATACAGCTTTTACTAGTTTTAGTAATAGTACATTCTGGGTAAGTACAATTAAACTAGAGAGAATGATGACTATTATGCAAACTGTGAGACAGCCAAAGACCTGAGTAGTGGGGAGGCAATAACAGGCTTCACTGTTGAGCTGGAAGGTTCCCAAGTTCCATCTTTTGGAAGAGGTTTATTTTGCATTTTTTAATCGTGACCTCTGCATGAAGTTGGAGTGTGCTGACTGGAATTACAGTGGCCATAAGAGCATAAGACACAATTAAAACAGAAGAGTCTCACAGTAGCAAACAAAATGATCTTGAGGGCTGGACTGTCAGAAGTAAGTTCACTACTAAAAAAGGCAGGAACTCTTTCTCTAAACTGGGAGTTTAGAGGAACCTGATCAGTGCAGTCCTTGTCTGTATCAGGTGAGGAATTTTCAACAGAGATTAGGGAATATTAACACTGCCTTAGAGGACATGTATCGTTTGTCATCCAGAATGTGCTATACAAATTTGAACTTCAAGCAGAACAAATGCAAACCAAGAACCAACAGAATTATTAGAGCAACAGAGCTTTTGTTTTGCAGTCAAAAAATATGACAGCTTGGCCTGCTCAGCCTCAAAAAATAATGCCAAAGAAGGAAATAAATCAGTTGTCATCTCAAGGGGTAAAGAGTGAAAAGAAAGAGTTATTTTAAGATATGAACTACACAGTTGTACCAAGAGCAAGATTTGTAAGCTTGCCATGAATAAATGTAGGTTGGAAATTGTAAATAGCTTTGTGTAGCCATCAGAGAAGTGAGCTTCTGGAATAACTTCCTAGTAGAAGTAATGGTAACTAAAAATCAGTTTTAAAATGAGAATTCATGTGTTATTCACAGGATTATGTAATATCACTGTATAATTGCCTGTCATTTTAAAGAATTCAATCCCATGAGTGATGCTCTTACCTGGGTAGCAACAGCATTAATTAAAAAAAAAAAAAAAGAAGGAAGGAAAAAAGTAGGAGAATGCTTAAGGGAAAAGGTAGGACACAGTAACGGTTGTTGCATTCTGAAAACCTTAATTTAAATGTTTCGTTTGACACTTAAAAGTAAGCACCGCCAAATTTACAGTTTTTTGTGCCCTCCTAATTTTATTCCTTCAGGTGTTTCTTCTGTACCCTAAATAAGTCAAAAGATGGTGAGGGGTGGAAGTTAGGGTTGCATATTTAATGACTGAATAAGGACACACACATGCAGGAAGCAGCCTGTACAGACAGCTATACGTTTGCAGTGCCCTAGTTTTCTTTTGTTCAATCCTGCAATCTCAGGAATGTGGGCTTTTTTTTTTCTCCCTGGACTGATTTTTCAAAGCAAATAAAGAATTGTTACGTGCAAAATATCAACTTCATTATGCTTTAACAGCAGGATTTGAGACAGAATTGTACACTTCAGTGCAGAGCTATCTGGCTGCAGAAAAACACTCTCTTTCAGAGGGTAGAGAGTCATCCTGATTCAAATGATACCTTTATGTTTCAGCAAAGGGGAGAGCCTGATCTCTTTCTCCTAGACTTGGAAGAACTCTTTCCCTATTCATTGTCCCCTGAGGAGTCAGCAACGTGCTGAGGCTAGAGAGCTCTTTTCTTCAGATGAACCAGAGCTGTCCTTTCCTGTGTCTTCCCAGGGTTGCTTATAATAAACTGCAGTACATGCCTGGTGTTATAATATTTTAGTATAAAATTACTACATTATGAAACAGCTTAAATTTCCATGCAGCACTAAGAAACATGGCAAAGGCATAAAGTAACTGCTGATGCAAAATCCGTGAATGGTGAAAAAAGAAAAAGATATCCAATGAAACTGAAAGAACAGAAAGACCATTAACAAGTCAGTGTGAATAATGAGCTTTCATAGGTATTGTAAAGGTTAGATTAATTAGCAAAATTATTTATATAGATAGCAGCATGTACTGGTTTATAGCACACTCTGTTTTTAGTAAAAGATATCATCCCTTACACATGAGAATTTTCCCAGCCATTAGCTGACAGTCAGTCGGTGTTTTACGTACTACAGACGGATTATTTTAGGATGAAGATTTTTGCATGTCTTTAAAATTTCTTCAAGAACTGTCCTCAAATCTGGGTACAGCTTTAGCTGGTTCATGTATGTTCATGTATTCCAATGCAGAATAAGCCAGGTGACTTGAGATTTCAGATGAGACATGGTAAGGGTATTAATAGATGTTGTCTCTGTCCCAAGACTTTCAGTAAGCAGCTAAACAGGGAAAGATGGAAGACACAAGATAATTGAGAAGTATAAAGTAACAATGTATGTTGATGGAATGGTTCAGAAAGTCTCAATAAAAAAGGATCTTGGAGTTTCTCATCCTGCAATTTTATATGAAGTAAGCCTTAGAAACTATTATTATAATATTCAATAATAGTAGTTATTATTATTGTTATTATTATCATTACTTTCAGGAAAATTATTGCTAGATTGACTCTAGTCTTAAAAGATCATGCAAAAAAATTACACTGTTTTCAACATTATTTCTACAAGGAGATATATAGATATTTATCCAGAAGTCTGAGCATTTGCCCTTTATTTTTAGCAGTTCTAAATACAGCTCTCATTGAAGTGTTACATCAGTTAAAATATCTTTTAAAATGGTACTAATTAGCTTTGTAGTTTTGCACTATAATGTGAGATGTTCTCATCTGCTCTCCCTGCCCAGCCTATCAGCCCCATTAATGCTAAAATACCTCTGTTAAAGTGTGACCACTATAGCATTGTAAAATGGCCTTAGGTAGTTGTTTGCTTAGAAGAATACTCTCCTGAAAGGTACTATGTTCACAGTAGCTTCTTTACTTTAGTCAGCTGTTGGTAGAAGTGCTGTGATTAATTTTTCATCCTTGGTTTCAGGTAAAACTTCAGTGAGATTGTCACAATATATAGGGGTCACCCATCCTTGGATGGTAGAATTTCTTGTAGTGCCCAATAACATTAGAAGTAGATCTGAGTAAATAAGTAAAGATCTAATGCACCATCAGGCTACAAAGCAAGTGAAGGTGTCACAAGGTTATGCATCACAAGAATTGCCTGAAATCCTGCTTCTTTGGTGGATAAGACTAATACAGCTGCATGGTTTGCCGTATTTCCAAAAGGCTTTTTCACAAGGCCCTTTAGGGATATTAAGCAGCCACTGCATAAATAGCAAGTACCTGCATGGAGAAAATAAATGGTTGTAGTATAACAAATAGGGTAGAGGTAAATAGTCAGGTCTTGCCATGGATAAATGGTAGTTAACCAGTGGTACTCTGATATATATTTATACACATGTGTCCATAGATGTCTATATATGTATAGTATATTTACATTTTACATTTTAATACGTGCATATATGTATATATAAATAAAAATATATGCATATTACCACAACATGGACTTACCCACAGCCACAGATGCTTCAAGGTGTACCTTCACCAGTGTGGATTTATCCTTGAGCCACAGTCCCTTCAGAGGTGTAACTGCTGCAGATCAGACATAGCTATAGTCATAGATGCTTCAAGATGTACCTGCTTTAGTGTGGACTGTTTCATGGCCATAGATACTTAGTGACATGGTTAAGTGGTGGCAGTGCTGGGGAACAGTTGGACTTGATCTTAAAGGTATTTTCCAACCTGGTTGATTCTATGATTCTATCTACAAACATATAAATAATTAGGAAAAGGGCAGGAACAGTATGACAAAGATACTGATAATAATTCAAAAACCTATTCAGGATAGCAAGGATGAAAGAAAGCAGAGAAAATGCACAGAGATTTTATGAGGTTGAGTAATTCTATAATAAATCACTAAATTAATACCTATGCAGTTAAATGTAGAGTGAGGCACCTGCAAAAAAAACTGCTTCCTAACCTCACATACAAAATGATGAGCTCTGAACTGGCCATTACAACTCAGAAAATTGCTCTTGAGATTACGAAAATGCCAGCTTAGTAGCAGTCAGGAAAAACAAAGTGAGAAAGAGCAAAATAGAAAATGTCATTATGTCATTATATTAACCTTGTCCACACTTTTAGTGCTGTATTCAGGCTGGTCCTCTCATTTCACAAATGATATAGTAACATTGGAAGAGTTGCAGAAAGAAAGGCTAGGAGGAAAACCAAAGATATGGAACAGTTTCCATTCAAAGAACAATTGAATTAGGTAGTATTCTTCAGTGTGGAAAAGGCACATTTTAGGTAGGATGCAACAGATTTGCAACATCACCAGGGACTGGAGAGAGTGGATGGGAATCAGTTGTTCACTCTCTTCTCCAAGGCGAGACCTACAGACTATTGAATAACTCTAGCAGGTACCAAGCTGAAAGTAGAAAAGAACAAAAAACGTGGTTCTACACCAAAGAGATAGTAGACATGTGGAATGCCTTAGCAGAGGTGTGTTTGGATGCTTAAGGCGTACACAGGTTTAAAGAGACACGGCTTGCCCAGAGAAGCTGTGGCTGCCCTATCCCTGGCAGTGTTCAAGGCCAGGTGGATGGGACTTTGAGCAACCTGGTCTACTGGAAGGTGTCCCTGCCCATGGCAGAGGGGTGGAGCTGGATGATCTTAAGGTCCTTTCCAATCCAAACCATTCTGCGATTCTGTGAAACACCAGATAAATATTGGAAAATAAATCTGTCAAAAATTACGCACCACATTTAAAAGTATGTTTAGTTTGGGAGAAGCCTTGAGCTCAAAAAAAGTGCAGACTGATACAGAAGGTGAAAAAGGTCTCTCATATACTTGGCCCGTTCTTTCTCTTCCCCATCCGTATCTGATTTTAGCCATAGTTGGAGAAATGATACTAGACCAGACAGAGCTTCCATCTGGTCCAGGATGGCCATTCTTACCTTCTTAATTTTGGATAGGTAAAACTCTGTATCTAATCTCATTGATATTGCAGTAAAATTTGTACTTTTTTTTTTTTACTGAAGCTGGTAAAATGGCCAATTTTTAAAGAAGTACTGTAACCATTTCTTGATGGAGTTTTCCTTTGCCATGCGTGTAGCTGAAGTGTGAAGAGTAGTTCTTTTTCCGTATTGGCATCTGGAGCTGTACTCCCTTGAAACAAAAAGAATAGGGAACTCTTTGTTGGAGATTTTCTGCTGGGGCACACACTGGGGGTGCTCAGATTTTTCATTGTAGTATTCTAAGGTTCCCCTCTCTGACTCATGAGACCAAGGTTAATTGGAGCCTCTAGCCCATACGAATGACACGATTAATGGCTTTGATAATATTTAAAGTTTGAGTGCAGCTTCAAAGTTCAGCACCTTATAAACTCTGCTGAAGTAAAGAGTGGAGTACAGCTGTAGATAAGGGTGCATTTTTGAGGAATAATGTGTAGCTGTATAATAAGAAATGTATGTAATTGCATCTTCATATTATAGACAGTTTCTCTACAGGTGCCTCCTTAATTGAGTAGGCTTCCAGATGCTGGCACAGGGCTGTTAGAGCTTCTTTAAGGGCTGAAATAGTGAATCTCTTAGTTCAGAGATTTATGTTAAGGCATGGCTATGTTTTCATTGGCTAGTTGTAAACCATTTACTTGAGGATCACATTATGAAGCACATCAGTTAGCACATCACTAGCATAAACCAAGAGAGTTTGGTTAAAGATGCAGGTTAATTGAGATGGTGGTACCTGGTTTTGTTGTTTTCCTGCTGAGCTGGGTGGGATCAAAGGACATCAAACCTCTGCTGACTTTTTTTCCTTTTGTTGGTAAGAAGTGGTGTCAGTCACTTTAATTTTATCCTAGAATTGAATGTGTTAATGATGAATTTATATTCTTAGTGTTTCATTAGGTTTCAAGAGGATTACTGTGAAGATAGGTACTTTTCTCCCAGGAATTGGATAAATTATTCATAACAAATTATAGGCCTCGACAATAGGAAATACTTAGGAGACTGCTTAAAGACAAGCTCATTTCTGTTTTCCTCACATGCTTGGGATTTAGCAGTCTCCTACCCACCCTTCCTGCACAGAGTGGTAAGGAATCATTGAATCATTTTTTTCTTTTCTTCTGTCCTTTGCAGCATTAAAGCTGGGTCCAGAAGCATTCAAATTTGATGGTGGCGTAGAGGCAGTGGCTGTGCGGCAGAATGAGAAGTATTACATCCTAAGACCAGAGGTGATTGAGACCTACTGGTATATGTGGAGGTTTACCCACGATCCCAAGTACAGGCAGTGGGGCTGGGAGGCAACACAGGTAACTGTATTAATTATCTGTCCATAATTTAATTCCATGTATTTTTCTTCTGTAGCCACTTTAATCTCATGGTACTGAAACGCTTCAAATGGTAATTGATTTTCACAAGTTCCCATAAACCAGGATACATATGGGGGTGTGCACAGTTATTCCTGTTTTTCAATTGCTGAACCAGATGCACAAACGAGAGATGCATTCAGCATTATACAGCTGATGAGGTTTAGGCATGGAAATAGAATCTACTGGTTATGACTTCTACTGTTATCTGTAGTCCACAGCCCGCTGGGAGAAGTAATTTATCTTGGGAAATGAAAGTGTATTATAAATAACTTTGCTAAGCATGTGTTCTCACTCAGATTAAAAACTAAGCTATTCTTACAGTTTCTTCTTTGTCAGCTATCACAGTGGCAGGACTGTTCTCAGATGGCTTGTAGACTACATGGCATGTACATATGTATATGTGGGTTGGTATCATGGCTTTTTTCTTTTCTTAGTTGTCTGACTGGAAGGAAAAAAAGAATGCCAGTCATTTTAGATTTACTTAATTATAACAAAAATTACAGCATTATAAGAAGTAGATCATAAGTCAGTAAGTAATGGCATATAAGCAGAACTTCAAAATCGTTGCTAAGGTACTTTAGAGACTTTTTTTAATCTGATTTCCTGGGTTTAAATGTGGTTGTTGAATGTTTTTCCTAAGTGCAAAAATGTTTCTGAGTCTTTCTCATTGGAAATGCTAATACTGATCTGCAGAAGCCTAGATTCATTGTTAGACACAGATCTGTGCTCATGGCCTTCCTTCATTCATCCTTTGTACTTAGATAATTCCTTCATCTGCCACTCATTGGTTATGTTCTATATGAATAACTAGGAAGCGTTTTCACATAACAATGTAATATTCTAATTGCAAAAATTGTTTGTAATCCCCAAAAGAGTTTGCTTTTTAAATGCTTCCGAGGATTCAACTTGTGAGCCTGTTTGGTCTCATCTTTCTCACTGCTTCCACCTGCTGGTCTGTGCTGGGCTTGTTCTAAACCGATTTGCTGGCCAAGCAGTTTTCTGGTCATCTTCAAGATCTGTGGATTAGTACAGCTCCTCTACTTCCCTGCTACAGCTCCAGCCATCTGTGAAAACACAGGTCAAAGCCAGTTTCAGAGATGAGAGTAAACATTAGAGATATAATGACACTAATGAAGTATTTTGACTACAGCCAAAGGCCATGTGGGAGAGCAAAGGAAGAGATGAACTAAGTGCCTGGAGAAACTTTATTCTGCAGGTTAAAACCAACTTTGTTCCAGAGGCAAGAAACCCAAAAAAGTACTTTGAGGAAAAGCTCTGTTGAGAAGCTTGTATTCATCAGGTGAAAGATAGTTAACAAATTAGGGTATTTAGCTGAGCTCATCTCTGTCCTTTCCTCAGTGCAGTCACAACCACATAGAGAGTTCAAGTATTTTAACATTGTGTCCTAGTCTGCATTAGGTTTTTCTTTATAGGCTGTTTTGATATAACTAACATTATGTTACTCTGGAGAGAGGTTCAACATTTGTCACATTTCTGTTAGAGAATGCATTGCCTCCCTCTCCAAAGCATCAAACATGGAGTCAGATCGTCCCTCCTGCCCAAACTATGCATGTCTGTAATATGACAAACAAACAGATCTAGTAACCTGCTCCTTGCTGGTGTGGGTACTACAAAGGCTTGCCAATAACTATGGCTGGATGATCCAAGCAGAGATGGGGTCCTTTGTACTATGTTAAAGAATTCACAAATGTAATTTTTCAGGCCAGGATCTGTCTCTTAAGGACACTGCAAAGCATGTCTTTGAATTGTATTTTGTTCACTTTTCTCCATTTGCCTTCATGCTTGCAAACCAAACCCTCCCTCCCTCCTCCCAGGCCTGCAGTTTTCTCTGTGGGAAGGTACGATTTTGTTTTATCCTTCTGTCAAGCTGTATTGAAGTTGTGTAAAGCAAGCAACCCATGGGCAGAGCTACCTCTGTCCTTACAGAGGGCCTTTTCTTACTTGCTTCCTCAATAAAAAAGTTTCTTTATCTAACATAGCCATGAAATATTTTTGATCTCTTCAGATATGTTTTTGCGTACCCCTCCCTCCCACGATTACAGAGTTTCTATCCCCACCATCATCCTAACACAGAAGCTTGGGAAGCTTTTTGTTCCCCAGGGTTTTCTGTTACCTGCATTTAGATAATAAGTTCCTGTGCTTACTCCTCACACCTACTCACCGCTTTTCCTTTTTCCCTACCACGCACAGCACTGGTTGTGCTTATTCCTCCTTTTATAAACAGAGAAGAATCTGGTATGCCACACAGAGCAGTTGGCCTGCTGCTCTTGTACAACACTGTGTTTGCTTTCCTTTTGCCTCAACCACTGAAGCATACTTTGAAATCTGTATTACAGACTTCTTGTGGTGAATGATAGTTTCCTCATCAGAAGTCTAGTTGCTCTTTTAAACTGTTGTGGAAACAGAGTTTTGTTTCTGAGTTCTAAATGGTCTTATTTTTCTACACTGAACATGGTCTAACTTGTTGTTTGATGCCTGAGTTCTTGGTGGTGTCCCTTGTTTGCTGGTTTGAATGGATGAATACATCCCCACCCAAATGGGTTTGGGTTAACTCACTGAAATGTTAGATGTCTGCTTCTGCCAATTTAAGAACTCTTCAGAGATGATCTGGGATACATTGCAGAACCACCTGGCTTTTAAGTATACTGCATGATTGAGCTTTTGTTAACATTCCCAGCCGAGAGCTCTCTCTGCCTCTTACGAATGGGGATTTGCACAGAGGGCTGGATTGTGTGTGTATGCAGAGCTTTGTACTGTACTTTCTTTATCTCTTTCACAACTGGCAGCGTCTTTTTAGCCTTATAATCTAGATTTTTGGACAAAACCTGAGCATTTTAGTACAGATGTGCTTCGACCAAGGCCTGTTTAGTCACATCGCTCCAAATACAGTGACTGTGGGGAAGAACCAGGAAGCTGAATCTTATATTCCCTCAGTCAAGGGAATCAAGGCTCTCTATCTCTTTCTGGCTAATTCTCCCTAATACTGTACTTAGCTAGAGACAGTACTACTGTACTAGAGACAACATCCATCTTATATTGGGCCAGCCAAATCGGATGGTGGTATGCTGGGGGGGGGGCTGGCTAAAGTATTACAGAAATATGCATGCAAGATATTCAGGTTAAATACAGAAAATTACTAAAATTCTTTTTAGGCTAATTATTTGAAAGCAATAAGAGCCGCCACTTTGCATTAGGTATGTAAAGCCAATTACTAATCTAAGTTGTGTGAATGAAGGGTTCAACTGTTTGATGGGGACTTGCATGCCTGACAAAGTAAGGTTGCACCATGGAGGCTGCAGAGTTCAGTCAGTTTCTGCTTACAGTGAAAATAATATAGAAGATCTCAAGTTCAGGCTAACTTCAGGCAAATTGGGGATTAACAGCAAGATGGAGTGGAAAGACCTATAGCTCTCTACTTAGTGAAGCCAAGAAGAGAGAAAAGAGCCAGGCATAGATGGGAGGTGAAAGAAACACAGGTTCAGAGTTCATGGGTTGGAAGCCATGAGTACCACAGCTGGTGAGAAAGTAGCACAGTTTTTATAAGCATATTGTTGGCGTAGTCAAGAACCACCACACATGCAACCACAAAAACACCCTCAGAGGAGCTGAGAGCGCTGGGGTCTGATCTAGAGGCACCTCCTATTTTATTTCTAAATAGCATAGATCATCTGGCCTCCCTGTATGTCATAGCCCGTGAAATACCACTTTGTGCCATTTTTGAGCTGAGATACATGTATTTGGCAAGAGTTCACTGTCTCATATTCTGTTCTACTCCTGATTTCAACAAAGGGAACTAGAAAATCCACTTGTTCTCATAGATGTTTCCATTAATTAATTTGCTTATTATCATATATTATTTAATTGCTGTTAAAAATACATGCTTTATTTCATATTTGAATTTGTCTAGTTTCAGCTGTCAGTCACTGGATTTTCCTATGACTTCATATCCATATTGAAATGTCTTTTATTCCTTCATGTTTTCTTTCCAAAGAGTTTTCCTAGATTGTAATAAGCTTGCTACTGAGTCTACTTAAGATGGTAAACAAATTGTGTTGTCTCTCACTGTGACGCATTTTCTCCTCATGTCTGCACCCACGCCAGTTCATCATCCTTGTGTGAAAATGAGTGTGAAAATATCCATTAGGAGCTCAGACTGAATTGTTTTACGTGGCCACTGAATTCTTCGAAGTGTCTCCGTGTCTTGACTTTCCAGACTAATCTGGTTCTAAATCTGGACGCCTTTCTGTCTAGATTTAGGGCCGTGTGCCTGATTATACGAAACGCACTTTGTTTGGGCTCCAGTTGCTAAGTACAAATTACACTGTCTGCTGTTATTTACCTATGTCATTTTTGCCAGCAGTAGTGTTGTAGTGGCTGATAAAACTTCAGACCTCTCCTCGTGGATCTCTGTGAGAAGCAGCTCTGTTTGGTGATGATTTTATATTGCCAGTGTGTTCTTAGAGCACTGTCAGTCAGTTTTAAATTAAGATAGTGATATTGCTAGGGTATAGTGCTGCTTTGTCTTAACATCTCTTGGTACCATGTCAATTGCTTTAAAACCTTGTCAAGTTTATTATGGCTCTGCAGTTCCCTTTATCTGTCAATTTTGTAGACCTCAAAGAATGAGAGCAAGCCTGCGAGCAGGATAGTTTCCTGTAGAATCGTGCTGATTAGTGTCAGTTGTACTCTTATTCTCCTGTATTTTTTACATGTGTTTCTGTAGTTGTTTGGAACTAACATCAGGTCTGGTATCCCAAAATTATTGAGACTGCCAATGCCACATAATCGTAGCATTACCTTGATACCCTCCCAGTCATCTAGGACTTCTCTGTATTCTAGGGTGCAATAACATTAGCACCATTTTATCAAGCAAAGTGGTCTTCAGCTCTTGAGTGGAAGAGTATCTAGGTGGCAAATCAGATGCCTCTGCATTAAGTACTCTGAGATCTGTGAGAAGGCAGAACACTGCAAATTTTAAGTGCTTTTTTAAGTAGCTTGTCTACAGCACCAGGCTTTTCAGCCAGTGTCCTAGCACCTCTGAATCAAGGACAGCCTGTTTATGCATTGGTAAATGAACACCTGTATAGCAATCTTTCAGAGAACGTTTCCTCTGCAGTTCATTACTACTACCTGCAGTGTCTGGATCTCTCATAAACTAGGATAAAGCCTCAACCTATCCTGAGTGCCAGTCTAGCCAGAGGCTGTCTCCCCAAAGAGAAATTTCTGAAGATATAAGGCTACTTTGTAATTGTAAGAGGGAGGGAATCAATATAAACCACACATTTCCTTTCTTCAGGTTCCTAGCCTGCTAGCTTCACCAGTCTTTCACTTAGTTATCCAAGTATGAGACCTGTACAGCACGGAGTGAGATCTCAGTGCTATCTGTTATCTACACTTTCCAGAATAAACAAGTTGTGTTTCCTATGCTCATCTGAGGATGTAATTCTTGAGGGGGAAGGAGACAGTGTCCTAACAAGGGGGCCATTTGTTCCTTCTGTTAATTTTGCCACCATCGTTGCAAGTTTCTCCCGTCTGAGCTGTGGCATGCGGTGTCAGGGTTGCCGAGTCACTGACCAGAGGAGCACCTTCAAGGTCAGACACTGCATGCTAGAAATGCTGGCAGGATTATAACCATTGGAGCTTTCCCCCCTTCTTGCTATGCTCAGAGCAGAGGCAAGGTCACATTCTGCAGTTATTATAAACAAGGGGATAGTGACAAGAGGAGGCCTTCATTTCCTGCCTAGAAAGCAAAGCACTTTCGCTCTTGTTTATTCATATGACAACTGCCTAGCAGCAGTAGGACTTGTGGGAAGGAACATGCAAATGGTTCCACAAGCAGCGTATGCATTAGTTCTGCAGAAGTCAGCCAAGCAATTGCTTTTTGTCCTTTTCCTTCCTTTTCCTTTTTTTTTTTTTCTTGTTTTCTACCATGTGATATCCAGCATCAATTGTGCTGTGCACAAGCCTGCAGTCAAAGAGATCATCACGCATGTGATGCTGTTGAGCTAGGTGTGTCACGTACGCCTTTCTGTCCAGACTGTAGAGAAAAACCTGGTCAAGCCAAATCCCAGCATGGGAATAGTCTCAGTGTAGCCTGGACTGCACCAGTAACCACATCTGAAAAGAATCCATCCAAACACTTTTTCCTTTCAGGCTCAAGTCACAACAGAAAGGGAGCATTGCCATCTGAACTTGGAGAAAGCTCCACTGGAGATAAGGAATTACTGTGAGGATTCCAGCTCACCAGGGAACACTGTACCTTTCTTGGCACAAGCTCAGGCTCTAGAGCCACAGCCATTCCAAGTAACATCCTTTTGCCAGTGTCTGTTGCTTCCTTTTAAGGAAGATTTTTAAATCTTCAGAATTTTGAAAGAACTCTGTACAGTCTGGATTATTCTTTGATCTATGAACAACCTCACATTTCCACAGGGTGAGCGTGGAAAGTAAGCAACCTCCTGCATACTAGCAGGAGGTTAGCTGTAGTACCTGATGTGCTGTGACTCACTGCCCTAGGTGCCTTCCTCAGCTGTCTTTTCACTTTTTCTCCTGATTTCAGTAATGGCATGTGCCCGCATTCTTTGTGTCTGTATTCAGTAGAAAATTCTCCTTTGTTTCCCAGTATTTCTAGTATGCAGAGGTTGTAGTAAGGACCTTGAAGAGTTAAGTTTGATTGAAGTTGTTTTCTCTGCCTGAAAAGGGACATCACTCAAAACTTATTTGTTCCCCTGCCTTGATTCCCCTCAGCTTCTGTTGAGTATAACTGGCAAAAACCAGAATTAATTAAAATCTAGGCCTAAAGCACCATGCAAAACAAACTTCATACAGGCTAACAGGCAGAATCATAGATTACTGAACTACATGTAGCTGTGTTTGGTAGTTGGTAATGACAGACATCCTGAACCAAATATTTTCCTTCATCACTGTGCCTTTTCTGTCCCTGCATGAATCTATTAAAAGAGTTGGCGTCTGCTGAGGAGGCACTGCCAGAGCAGCAGGGAAGCACAAATAACCTGTGAATCATTTCAGAGTTGTTTCTTTGGAGCTGGTTTTAATGGCTGATATCCTTGTGTGCTGTAAGGTCGTGCATGTGAGTGGAATAATGAAAGTGTAGGCGAGGGGTCCTCTGAGCTACTAACGCCTTCTTTCCAGTCTCCTCCTCTTCCATTGTGCTTTTTGCAGTACTGCCTTGCAGCTGACTAGCTGGGTGATTTGTGAATCATGGATCCATTGCCCAATGTTTATGGATTTAAGCTTTATGCTTTAAAGATTAAAGAGCTCTCCTGCAGTCCAGCTCACAAGCTGACTAGAGTTTCCACTGTATAAAGGGGAACAGGAGAAGAGCACTTGTAAGAGATGGAAATGTGGGGAGAGAACAGCAGCTAGAGGAGTTTATAAGATGAGATCAACAGTCCCTAAAGATGAGTACAGTATGGTTGGTGACAGCCAATGTGGCTTCACTAAGGGCAAATCATGCCTGACCAATTTGGTGGCCTTCTATGATGGGGCTACAGACCTGATGGATAGGGGCAGAGCAGCTGATGTCGTCAGCCCGGACTTGTGCAAAGTCCTGCACAACATCCTTGTCTATAAACTGAGAGACATGAATTTGGTGGATGGACCCTTCATTGATCAAGCCTGAGCCTTTCATGTTTCCAGATTTTGCTCTACAATTAAATTCTCCTTTTCCTTTCCTCTTTGCAGGCAATTGACAAGTATTGCCGAGTCAGTGGTGGCTTTTCTGGTGTCAAGGATGTTTATTCCTCATCTCCTACATATGATGATGTACAGCAGAGCTTTTTCCTTGCTGAAACTTTGAAGTAAGTTCTCTCCACTCTTGCCTCTGACTCTAAAAGCTAGCCACAGGATTCAAGAAGAATGTAGTGGCTCAGGAAATAATCCCTTGTCTTGTTGGGGTGGTTTATGCATTGGGCTTTCTTTTTTTCCCAGCTTTAGGTCCCAGATAGCCCTTCTACCAGCAGGAAATGAAATTTCCCAAACACAAGACACTTATACTGGGAGAGCTTTAGTTTTAAAGACAGATACACTGACTTGACATGTCACATACAAGTATGTGCTATGCTCTGATACTGTAGAACATGTTTCTCCTCTGTGTGTCACTGTAAAGGAGTAAATGCATAGAACAAAAGTCCTTCATGCCCTTGAATGACTGTATCCCATAATTTTTCTAGAATGCTTTTTAGTGTAAGCAAGAGTTTCAGGCCTATTTTATAATCTCTTACATACTTACATGCATATTTTTCATTTTAGTCAAATCAGTAGGGCACCTGTGGTCCACCCTGCATAAGCTAATGCACTCTATTGCATATTTGATCCAAGGTAAAAATGTTCAATGTCATTGGTCTTCCACCATGTTTCTCTTTAATAACAAGAAATGCTGTCGTAACCTCTGACTTACAGACATGATACAGCATAAAAAAACTAGCATAAAGATAGGCATATGTTAGGGGGATTTTATTAAACCTGAGCTAGCGTGTACTCGTCTCCTCCATCACTGACACAAACCAGCCATCAAGAGCACTCTTGTTACGTGTTTGGGATCACTCTGGGGTTTTGCCTGTAAAGCAATGCCTTCTAATGTGTGACAATTTTCCTGATACCTAAGTTACATCGGTGAATTTAGTTATATTGTTCTGGCATTGAAATCTACCAGGATTGCTGAATTACCTTCCTGAAACCTTGTGAATGGACTGCTTCTGGAAGAAAAGTGTCTGAGATGGCTATATTCCCTACCCTTTTTTTTTCCTCCTTGTGTAATACCTAGGAAAATGTTTTAGTTGGGTAAATCCATAGCCAGAAGCCACTGCTGGCAGTGTGAATGAAGCCAGAACTGCTATTAGGAGTTGTTGCCTCTGCTTATCTATCTATACCACTTTATGCCAATGTGTGATGGAATGGATGATTGTCGTGGTTTAAACCCAGTCAGGTAATTCGTTCGCTCACTTCCCCCCCTTTCTTGCCCTCCCCCTGCTCCTGGAGGGACGGAGAGGAGAATCGAAAAGAATGCAACTCCCACGGGTTGAGATAAGAACAGTTTAGTAACTAAGGTATAACACAAATCACTACTGCTACCACCAATGATAATAATGATAAAGGAAATAACAAGGGAAGAGAATACAACACCTCAGCACCAGCTGACTGATAACTTGCCCCCCAAGCCCGACCAAGCTCCGACCGATACCTCCTCCAACCCTGCCGTCTCCCAGCCCTTCCGGCTAACTCCCAGTTACATCCTGGGCATGACGTGCTGTGGTATGGAATAGCTCTTTGGTCAGTTTGGGTCAGGTGTCCTGTCTCTGCTTCCTCCCAGCTTCCCCTCCTCCCTGGCAGAGCATGAGGCTCACAAAGTCCTTGGCTAAACCAAAACATCTCTATCAGCTCTGTTCCCGAGCCGAAAGTCAAAACACTGCACTGCACCAGCTACCAAGGAGGAGAAACATGACTGCTACTGCTGAACCCAGGACAATGATATATCCCTTTGTCAGCAGCGAAGATGCATTAAGGTGCCCTTTCTGTCTTTACAACACAGTTATATGACAAAGAAACAGTTGTAACCACTTGGCAGTCTTGCATGTCATGCAGGCTTGCAGAATAAACAGGGTTTCTGTACAGAGTTTACAGTATTGGCAATCTCAAATGTTCAGGCTTTAGCTGTAGCTGGTGTACGTGAAGATTGATTTTGGGTATTGGGAGCTCAAAATGCAGCAGGGAGAAAGCAGGTCCTGAAAGCAGCAGTATGGGTGTCTGCTTCAGGCAACCACATGTTTCACTGGCAAGATGGGGCTCTGAGTTCATCATGTGTAAAGGGAGAGTCTGGCTATTCTGTTCTTGTCTCCTTACCAAATTGCTCACCATGGTCAGAATCCTTTGTTACCCCATGTTATCGTTATAAAAAAGAAAGCCACTGCTGCTTCCTCTGTTGGCTAATTTTATTTCACTTACTCTTTCATTTTCTGGAGACAAAAAGCTGTACTCCCACAGAGAGAGGCAGCAGTTTCAAATGGGTTCAGTCAGAGAAGCAGGACCTCCCCAGGAGCTGATCTGATGTGATAGATCTGCCTATAAAAGCTAAATTGGAGAATGAAATCTGCTCCTAAGGGACTTCTGTGGTGACAAGGCTGACCTTTGAAGTATCACCAGAATCCTGTCTGCATCTTAAATAATCACAAGGGTATCTGAAAGTTCACTGATGCATCGCTCAGATGTACTGCAGTGAAAGCATTGTAGAAGAAGACAGTTCTAGGAAAGAACTCAGAAGTATTTATTGACTTTTGGTTTGGATCATATCCTATTTGTGAAACAAAACAAAGTTTTATGGGAATGACACTCTAAAGACAAATGAAAAATGTAGAGAAAGAGACTAGACATGCAGGACAAAACTGAATCATCTCAAATAGAAATTTTCATCTCTAAGCAGTTAACTGGGGAGGAAGAGAAGGAGAAGTAGAGCTTCACTCACTGAGTTGTTCTGCAGATACAACTGGTAAATAAAGGCCATGGGAAAATGATCAGGTAGTGACACATGGCTGCAGACAGTAGATATTATGAGCCCCTGATTGAGAGAGAGCAAAGTAAGAGCAGCCTCAGCAGAATGAAGGCAGAACCATATGTGTGCACATTCTGAACGTGACCGAGTCCACTAATGGGAATGATACCCTTTCCTGGTCACATGCTGCAAGACCTGTCATTTTCTGGACAGCAGGAAAGCAAGCTACAGCAGGAGCTGAGAAATCCTGTGCACCCATGATATTACACTTGCACAGTCGGGTTTTCTGCAACAGGACAAATAAATGTTGTTTGAATTTTAGCAGTTGAGTTTGGAAGCCTTGACAAAGATCTCTTGACAAAGATCTCTTGACAAAGATCTCTCCACCAATATCTTCTACAAAGTTTAGCACAGCCACATCAAAAGGGTGTATTAAGAAAAAAGAACCAAGAAATACTCTTCATCCATGTATGTCCAGAAACCTTAATCTTGTTCCATGCTTCATTTACTCTGCATTGCTTTATAATGTACGATGTTTATGAATCCCCTCTGCGCAATATATTGGCCCATTTCCTCCCACCAGAAGTTGAACCATCTTCCAGCACGGCATTGGCAAGTCAGATACCTGGCTTCTCTTGTGCTTCTTTGAAATCTTTGATTTGGATTAAATCATTTCCAGGTGGGTTTACTCTATTAAGAAGACTTTTTTGCCAACTTAATCTCTGTTCCCCTGTCCCCCAAATCCTTTTGCTTGGTGTCTTGATGTTTGTTTTACATTGCAAGCCTTCAAAAGGAGTCTTGAAAAACAGAAGTTACTTGGAAAGATTAAAATGCTGCCTTTATAACAACTTTTCATTGAAGGGCTTGATCATGCTGAAAATGACTCTTCAGATCATTATAATGAAGAAGGTTGTGTAGGTGCTATACAAAGACTGAAAGCAAGTAACTTGTTTATAGCTTTAGCTGCTGACTGGTGGGGCCTGAAGCTGCTGCTGTGTTGCCCCTGCTTGTCTGTTGCTCTGCTTTAACACCCGCTGTTCTTCCTTTCTCTCTTAATGTCTAGGTATTTGTATCTGCTGTTCTCCAATGATGACCTTCTACCATTAGACAACTGGGTTTTTAACACAGAAGCTCATCCTCTGCCTGTTTTACATTTAGCCAACACCACACTATCAGGAAACCCTACATATCGATAAAAACAGCTCTATGAGGAGAAAGAGAGACTGTTTTCAGCTCTGTTTTGTTTACATGGACCACTTGAGACTTTTAAGCAGGAGAGGAGACAGACGCTTGATAAAACTAGACCTCTGAGTCAAGCACGTACCAGCGTGAGAAATGAAGCTCTTCAACATATAGATAAGTTAAACGTTCTGTTTTATACATGACCAAAACACATTAGTGTGGTATTTGCAGGACAGAGACTTCACGCGCTTTGAACCTTAGCAAGACATGGAATCTGTTGTTTAATAGAAGCACAGCAGCATAAGGAAGAAGAGGTTTTCCCATCTAGGGAGAGGAACTTGCTGCTGCTGCTGTTCTGAACAAGGAACACACACCAGTCACCTCTTCAGATCAGGTGGCTTCCAAATACCTAGATTTTCTTTTTCTTTTTTCTTTTTTTGTTTGTTTGAGGATGGCATGAGCAAAGCAACAACAAAAGCAACATCACTGCACCAGCAGCAGCAGCAGGATTTGAATTGCTTTCTGTACCTCTCTGAATTCCCTAAGGAGCATCTGTTTGTCCAGACTGGCAGCCATTCTCAGGGCCACAAAGCTATTAAAACTAAACTTTCAACTATAAAAACTATTGCCTCCTCATTTTCCCCTTTTCAGAATAATGCTGAAAGATCTGTGTTGTATGCTTGCAACCAAAAAAACCCATTTAGTAAGCATTTGCTTTGTAGCTCTCTGTCAGCAACATGGGCTTTGTTCATTTGGCAAGCTACAGTCAGAATCTGGAGTGAGTTGCAGGGTTAGGAAGGAACCTGAGCTTCCCTTCCTCAGAAATCATGTCACATGGGAAAAAACATTCTCCGATTAGTCTTAGTTCTTTTAGCTAAAAAACCAGAGATGACAAAATGAGGAAAACTGTCTCTCATGATTTCTATAGGTGGATACAATAGATGGCACTTAAAAATGCTCTCTCCCCTTGAGCTAAGCAGCAGGAGTTTGTTGGTTTATATTTTGCTAAACAATCTAGATTTTTCCTAAGAGTTAAATTTCCTCAGTTGGATACTATTGACAGAACCTTCTTTGCAGGTTTGTGTATGACAGAAGCCCAGAGCTGCCTTTGATTTCATTTAGAAAACTCTGCTACCAAAGCAGCGTGATCTTCTTTGGAAACATCTCTGACACAGGGGTAGAAAAAGAAACTAAAGTCTCTTTTGCCATTAGTTTATGAGAAATGAGATGCTGCTACCTGCACGGGGCTTTTTTTTATCAAGAGCTCCTGGGCTGTGCTGTGCATCACTTACATGGAGTCTGCTTCAGTCTTCACTTAGTTACTAAAAGAAATTTTAGTCTCTTCGGATACATCTCAATATCTTTCTTTTTTTTTTTTTTTTCTTTTTAACTGTTTTTCCAGAATCCTTACAGCTCAAATTGTTCTTTCTGTTCCCCTTTATAGCTCTCAAATCCTTTTGCCATGGTGACCGACCCCTTTGCTGAAAAGGAGCTGTGAGGTGCTCCTTTCCCTCCTATTTAGCGCACAGGTTGAGTCTTTAGAAGATCTGGATTGTGTTTTCATACTGAGGTGAATAGTAGAACTCTTCAGTGAGCTACAGCAGCACAGCATCAGATAGGAAGGGAGTGAGTGCTATTTTTCCCTTCAAAAGATGTTTTTATATGAAGTTTTATATAGAAAAGCTTTTCTATCATATCTGACTGTACATTATAGTAGAATGTCCCCCATAAAATTTTCCTTCACTCGTCTCTGACACTAACTTAGACACAGAAATCATGATCTAAGAAAAAAAATGCTATCAGATGCTTTTTTCCAGCCAGTTCCTTTATTTTCAGAAGAGGAAGACACAGCGCTTGGAAAAAACTCCAGTCTCCGTGTTTTTACCTTAATACCAGTTGCTTAGTTATTCTAAGCTGAAGCAGTAGCATAAAAATAATTGAAGAACCAAGAAAGGAATTGATATAGTAAATAATACTGAATCAAGTAATTGTTTATCTAAAATCAGAAGTCACTTAATAAATGGATTCTTCTTACCAGTCCCACAATAACTTATTTTTCTAATTGGTATTCAGTGGCTTACTGAAGAGCTGGTTATTTTCCATTTCCCAAAGTTCAGATAGGTTATGTTTTCAAATTGAGTTTTTTCCCATTACTGGTTTAAAACTGCACTTGATTTCCTTGTTCCCCTCAATTTCTCCAGGTACAAAAGAGAAAGAGGAAAAGCAGATTCTTCTGTTTAAAAAAATAAATACCAAAAAAAAAGGCACTTTCCACCCCATAACACCCGTTCCCATATATCTCCTGATGAATGCACATGTAGAATGGCTGCCAGTCTGTTCAGAGGAAGGGCAAGGACAGAATTTTGGAGTCTCAGAAGCATCAAACTTCTTATTGCTGCTCCTCTAGCCCCTGTCATGAATTAAAGAGCAACCCTTCAAATTAGTTCCTCCATAAATCCCAGTGGATTTAACTCATTGTCACAAGCATGCTTGCATTGAGGACCTAAGCCCTTTCATGTTCTGGGATGGTATTTTTCTCAAAGCAGACATACAGCACTGCTATTTCTTCTTTGCGCAGACTAGCAGCAGGTACCAAATAAAGAACGCTTGTTTCCCATTTTCCGGTTACCCCAATGACTGTCACTTTTTGTGACAATGTCTGTCACTTTTTAAAACACAAACTACCCTTTTCCTCCAGAAGCTACTGATGTGCACAGTCTATCAAAAATAATGAATTTTAAGGACTAATTACTGTGTCATTCATGAATCTCATCCTGAGATTTCCCTAGAGCAAGCTGAGTTTGGAGGTAACGGGTTCTGGGCGAGTTGTGTGCGTAATAACCAAGCAGTGTGGATATTGAAATGTCTGACTTGTTCTTGTCCTGAGTCCTTCACAGAGAAGTAGGTTCTGATGCACAGAATGGTGTTACAACCCAAAGCTCAGGCTGTTTCCCCTCTGGGTACAGAAGGTACAGTGGAATATTGCCATTTCATTCTGTTGCTGCTGTCTGACTTTCATGAAGATAGAGTGTAAATTTAAGCACAAAATGACTTTTTAGTCCTAGTTGTTTCCAAGTCTTGCACTGTATTCTCTAAGAAAACAATCCTCCTTTTCTTTAGGTAGCGGTCCCATTTTACCAATTTCTACAATACTCTCTCCCCTTACAGGATGAAATAAAGAACAGAAAATAATGTACGGTTTTGGCACACTGGATTTGGGCAAGAGCCTGGAAATCCCAGAATTGTCTATTTCCTGTTTGCATGCAGTCAAAACAAGGATGTTCAGTTCTTTTCCTAATCCAAGCCTTAAGCTTGCCTGTTGTCAGGATCCACAGTAAACTTTTTCCTAAGACTTGAGCTTGAGTTTTCAAAGGAGCCAGATTTCTGCAGCTTCCACTGACCACCCTGGAGCTGTGTGTCCTGCAGTCAAGAAGTCAGCTTCTTAGCTTTGTCCTCGTAGCAGAACAAATAACCCTGAATATGTGGGGTGTTCATTTTGCTGCACAATGTAGTCCTTAAAAATGGAATGTTTAAGAAAAGTATGAAAAATAGTAAGTACCCTGGAATAAAGGGAACAAACGGTAGTTCCCTGGGCCAGTCGCAGCTCTGAGGCTTCTTTATCCCCCTAATTCAAATCTGTGGGTCACTGTCTTCTACCTCCCAATCACTGACGTATTCCCACCCAGTGTTTTACAAGATTTGAATGTTGAGTGTCTTGAGTTCTGAAAAGCAGGACTACAAACTCCTTATACTACCATTCTTGAAGGTTAATGGTCTACCCTATGCTAATTTACATGTAAGCAAAGCCCTTTGGCTTTTATGTCCATGTTTTTAAGGGGACAAATAAGAAACAGGCTTCTTGTTACCAGAGCAATATGAGAGTGAGCTCTTGATCCACACTGTAGTTTGGAGATCTGTTCGCCCTGATAAGACATCCCTTTTCCACTCCTTGTATGTTGAGAAACAGTCTTCTGACTCAAGAGTTTGAGTTGCAATCCAAAGAGGAAACCCAAGCTCTTTTGCAGGTTATGTGCATACAACTGTAGTAGCGATGATAAGCACTAGCTGCTTTGGCTGTCAGCCCCTTCTAACAAACTGCTCTGGAATTGCCCAGGGAAGTTGGGAACCATCAAAGTCAAAAGAAGACAGCCTGACTTGTTATGGTGAATTGTTGCCTTTAATCCTAATCGCTTGGTGGAGGTTGGATTTGAATTCTGCCTTTATTCTTGCTTTGTCTAAAATGGACAGATTATTTTTCCTCCAAAATAATGAAAGGGCAAAAGTCTGCCTTCTGATGTGGAAACCTTCTGCCTCTGACCTGGAATCCTGCATATGTACTTTTTACAGATTAAAAATAATATTGTATATAAAAAAGATTGAATAAAGAATGTCTTTAAGTGAAAAAGGTGCCATTTGTGTCCTTTGCCTCCAATAGCAACCTCCTGCAGCACTGGGCTGTGAAGTTGACCTGATTTCATAGGCTTGATGGTGCCGCAGCTTTTCTTTCCCCTGCAGCTCTCCTAGGGACTTTGTCAAACACGTATCAGGTCTCCCTGTTGCAAAATTAAACCCATATACCCTGGTTTGCCTTGAACAGGTTGCTGTACTGCTCACATTTCTCTCAATAGCGAGTTGAGGATCTTTCTATATGCTGTTGTGAAAGCCACCAATTCCCACAAACAAATCTGCCCTTCTGTTACATTTGCGTGGAAGTGGCTAAAAAGTTCAAAGATTCTAAATGGGGCAGGCAGAAAAGATGTTACTAAATGAACTTAATTCTCCTAAGATACCTGGTTAAACCCCCAGCTTTTCTTGATATTAAGTAGCCCAATGGTGAATTGGGCAGTTAATTCTGTCCATCCATTCCTCTGCCTTCTGCGAAAAGGAAGAAGTTCATAGTTGTTTAATATTGTTCACAGGGAAATTGCTATGAGGAAATGACTTTGCATGAGCCTATTTTCCCCCTTGCACCTTTTGCTGATATATCTCTCCATTTTGCAGTGCAGCAAGTGAATAACCTGATTTGCTTTCTGCTTTGCATTAGCTGTAGATAATGCTTACTGCCTGACATCAGCCATACTGCTCATATGCAGTGCCTTGTTTCCATGGCGTGCCATGACTGCCATCCTGTCCTGTTTTGGTGCTTTGTATCTGGTCAAAGAATCATCTTGGTTGGAAAAGACCTTTAAGATCATCAAGTCCAACTGTTCCCCAGCACTGCCAAGTCCACCACTATCCCACATCACTAAGGGCCTCATCTATCACCCTTCTGGTGATGCTCAGACTTCCCAGGGTGCTTCTGCCTCAGGATGCATGAGCTCCTTCAGAGTTACTTCATAAGAGAAAATTGCTTATGAAGTGCTGTAACTCAGTGCAGCACGTAACACAAGGTACATGCCTGCCCTCCTGGTGCGTCATCCATCTCCAGATCCAGTTATGCCTTCAGCTTTCTACACAAGCGCTGCGTGCTCATGATGCACCCAGTGTCCTACCGCAGTGCCACTGGCAATGCAGTGTCTTTGCATCCACTGAACACAGCCACCTTGCTGAAAGTCACTTCTTGTAACAAAGCATGTTTGCTGTGTCTATCAGTGACATTCTGTTTCAGCCACTGAGCACTGACACACTTGGTCCAGTACTACCAAGCTCTCTCTCCTTCTATACAACATTTTGGCCAGTGCCAAAGGCTATCCTCACTGCTCTTCAAATGGGATCCTTTGTGGTTGCACTGCATTATCCCTGCCTCTTCAAGTTAAGCGCTTCATCCCTCTACTTCTGTCTTTTCTGAAACACACCTCTTTTTGCATGTCCTCTATCCAAGGATACATAGCGAATATCCTCGAATATCCTCTTATTTCTCCTTTGGTGCTCTGCCTGCACGGCACCCTCCCCCCTTCCTTCCCTCGTATACTCCGTGTGTGCTCCTTCCTGGAGACCATGCGCCTTTCCTCTGCATGTTAATTAGCTTTATTTTAAAATCCTAAAATTAATCCTTAATGGGCTATTTTTAGCTTTCATCTTGTAGCTCTGGGAGTTGGCTTCTCTCCTTGCAAAGCCATAGGCATTCTGGGGACTTTGGAAAGGAGCTATTCCTCTGTTGGTACCGGTTCACATGCGGATGAGGTTGTGTGCTTGCCTACGTTTTCAGGTACCTGAATCAAAGATACAGGAGGTCCCTTCCTGTCCCACATTTACAAAATCCCCTTCCTTTGTGCTGTTACCTCTCTTTCTAGTAAAGGTCAAGTGTAAAATGCCATTGGATCAGAAAAAAACCCTTTCTTATCTACATGGATGGGAGTAATTGGTTCACGTTTGCTATGCTGGTTGAGTAGAATAGAATATAAATGAATAGAAAATCACCAAAATACTTGCTATGAGGTTTTTTAAAGTGGTTATCTGATGAACTTTCACCACCAGACTTGCTGTGGCTGAATTAGAAAGAGATTGCAGTGTGTTGAAACACAGCGCTAACAACATACGACACCAGTCTCTTTTATCTGAAGATTTGTTATTGAACAAGAAATGAGGAACAAGGAATATACTAAAATAGAAGAGTGGTACAGACCACAAATAGTCCTTTGTGTAACGATTCTTGCACAGCAAAGTAAGTAAAGATCATCAGTACCCTCAGAGACAAAATCTCTGAAGGTGCCATCTGTTGCATGCTCTTACATTCTATTTTACCCATACTTGCATATGGTTCATCTTGTCCTTTATTTGGATTCATATCCCGTTATTACTTGAGGTGCTTTATGGGTTATTTCTACACTCATTTATATTTACATCAAGGGATTTCCCTGACAGGTCACTGGGATTTTTGCAAGTGTCCTTAGATCTGTATTGACACACTTACAAATGTTTAAACTTTAGCCAAGCGAATCATTTCAAAGAACCCATACATTATTGGTGTAAGTATGATCAAATCTTAGAACCAGTGTTACTTGAACAACCATTCCTATCAACCTAATGCTATAGTCTGCTAAAGCCTTATGCCAAGCCTCTGTAACCTCAGACGCTGTAATCCGACTTGTACCACAGCAAAGTTAGCTTTTCAGGTTCTGTTTAGATATATTTCAACTGAAGTGGAAATTTCCCCCAGGAAAAAAACTCCCACCAATCTTTGCATAGCCACCAGTCATCAGCTTGTGGATTAATGGCTTTCCTCAGAAGCAGACTTCGATGAGTTCAGTGACAACAGGGGAAAATTTACTGCCACATTCAGGAGACATCGTTCCATCGATTTCTTTATTAACCTTAATAATGCTGCTTTTCCAGGTGTGCAGTCTGAGTAAACCTTTCTGTGTATTACCTCTGATTCCCTCCAGTTCCTGCTCCTGCTATTCCTTAATAAAGCAGAAGTCTATGAGGAAAACATCAACTCCTTTGCAGAGCACGGTGCATAGCCCTGGAGATGTTCCCTCTGAGCAGGTTATGTTCAGTGCCAGATGCTTGTCGGCTGCATCAGAAAAATGCTCTGCCCACATCCGTATTTTATGCCTGCAGTAGAAACCTCTTTGCCAGCTTCAGCTGTCAGTAAAAGGCCACTGATACGGCTGTACTCCAGTGCTGGTACCACCTTGTTCACCCCTCTGTTGACTGATGTGCTCAAGATACATCCAGGCTAGTCTGCCCAAAATTCGAAAGCTATGATTTGTTTTCGGTCATGGTATCAGACTGACTTCCAAAATGGAGAACATGAGGTTCAAATGTCAGGCACTCATCATCTGCCTCCCAGATGCTGAACCTCCTCTGTGTGTGTAACACCTACTGCAGCTGCCTGACCAGGATGTGCCAAGTGCCCTGGTTCAGGAACCAGCAAGGCTCAGCAGACCCAGCCGAGCGCAGGGGACACTGCATCATGTTCTGAACTGATCAACGCAAAGGGCAGTGGCAAGTTTGTGATGTGGGACATGAACTGTGACCATGAGGAGCCTTATTCCTGGTTGGGGGCAAACATACATTATGGGAGGGCTCGGTAACCTCTGTGGGTACTGTGAGATTGCAACTGGTTCCTGCTGAGGAAAGGCTGTAGTTGAGTTTTTAGCTGCTTGACAGACAACACCTATTTTTCAAACACTGAGTCCGGCTGCAAGAATCCTGAGAGTGCTTCTAAATAACACCTTTCAGGATCTTTTTCCATGCCTTCGGTTGTTTTGGGTTTTTTACCTTGAGCCTTTGGGTCACTCGTAGTTTAATATTTTGGAGTTCTTCCCTTCCCTTTTCTTTCAGAATGATGAGAAACGCTTCTAGAAAGAAAAGAAAAAGAAAAGTTGTCACATCTCTGGTAGAGTCTGCAGCCTCAGGAAATGATCAAGGGTGGGCACTGCTGCATTAAGCTTGCCCTGAGCACTGCTACAGATACTAAAGGAAGGTCAACTTGCTGTTTGGAAACCAAATGTTTTTTAACCTCACTCTGATACAGACACACATTTCCATTCTCCAGACAGAGCAGGCAATTTCTCCTATTTACTGCTCTGCTCCAAATGCAATTGGCAACATCCTGGTTTTAGTGAGATGGCTCTCAGCAACCAAGTACAAAACACAACACTGAATAACGTGATGTCCCAGTGCAATGTGAGCCCCACAATTATTGTAGGGTTATCGCACTGGTCCTTATACAGGTAGGTTTATTTTTCCTCTCCAAAGTGACTAATGAATGGGATTCATACGCATGACCTTTATCACTTATAGTTTTTCCACCACTCGCTGCAGGAGTGCTTGGAGGGACAAGGGAAGGGAGAAACTTAGCATCGCAGCTACACATGACATCACTCCCACTTGAGCAGTCTTTAGAGGAAGAACAAGAGATCTTTTCTTGAAATAGATCCATCACATCAAGCATCTGTTTCAAGCTACACTGTGAAATTTTGCTTTGTAAGTGGGGTTGCAAAGCACCCAAGATTGTTAGCGGGAGTGGAGGGAGGATGAACACTTGCATGGATGCTGGACATGATATATCAGTCTTAATCCTTTGGCTCTGTTTGTCGGAATCTACTGTACTTGGTAGCAGGCAGCCTGCCCCAGCAAGCTTGCACTGTGTTGTCTGTGATAAAAGTGCAGGTTCTGTGAACACAAACTCAGCAGCCAGAATGTTCAATTGAGCACAGAGTGAGTGAGGGGAAACTATCCCTTAAGATACCATCTTGTGGTAGTAAGAGGCATAGACCGACAGCGCCAGCAGAGCTGAACTGCACAAAACGATCATCACTCCTATCCCCTAGCTGATCATAAATTCCTACCTTTCCAGTAAGAGGATGCCACCGAGGAGTAAGCACTAGGCTCAGATCTCACTCTGACCAGTGCTTCCTAGTCCAAGAGCTGCAGGAAGGGAACACATAAGAAGCAATTCACCCACCCAGCAGTCGGTCCATGACATTCCTTGTGAAGCGTGTGAGCCTGGTCCTT